TCTCTCTCTCTCTCTCTCTCTCACACACACACACACACACACACACACACACACACACACACACAAACACACAACTGTCCCTTGATCCCTTAATCGGAGTGGCATGGGCTCATCCCCCCATCAAGTGACCGCGGCGGACTGCCATCGCTATCCGGGTCATCGTCACTAATGACACGCTTCTTGCGAGCATTAGTGTTGCGGCGTCCGTGCTGCAACGCAGTCTTGTCGACTGCCTTTCTTTTTCTGGGCCTTCCACGGCCGCGTCGGGGCGCTTCGGGGGACTCCGCTGTTGCCTTCCTCTTCCTGCCTTCCCTGCTCTTCCAGAGGTTGTCATGGTGGAGAGCATCGTTCAATTCAGGGAAACGGGGTGTGCCAATGTCCTCTGCGGCCTGCTGCTCTTCCTGCTGCTCCTTCCCCATCGCTAATTGCAACTTGCTGGTCGTTGGTCTCTCCCTCCACTCCGACTTGTTGCTCCATGCATGGGCGGAGCCTGCGCGTGTACACCGCAACTGGTGCTTGCTGTTCTTCCGCTGTGTATGCAGGCTCCCCTTGCTGCTGCTCGCCCTTCTCCACGGCAGGCTGGACATCCCCGTCCATTTCCTTCAAGGCCTCGCCCCCGCGCTTTTCCTGTTGTGCAGCATTCCTCTCCCTCTCCCTGCGTGTAGGGATCACTGCACGACGGGCCTCCTCCTAAGCGACCCGCCTCTCCACAAGTTCACGATCCCTGTCCGCCATCTCCTTCGCACGGGTGGCCTCTTCCTCGTCCGGGTCATCATGGCGGTGCAGCAAAAACTCCACGTCCGTGTCCACTCTCTCGACGACCGGCGTAGGCTCAAGCTCGAGCTCCCTCTCCTGTGGCCTGGTTCGCCTACCGACATACGTGGTCGCCGGGACTGCAGGCACCACACCGAGCTCGAAATCGGAGTCCTCATCCTCGCTGCAGTCCTCCGATGATGACTCATTCCAGCACTTCCCCTTCCACACCGTATCCTCGAGGTCGCTGCTGTCACTAGTGTCGGAATCAAGAAGGTTTTGGGGGATCCTGTTTTTTGGAGCCTTCGGCATGTTTCTTTGCCTCATCTCCTCATCCTCTTTCTCAGCAGCATCCTGAATATCGGTCGCCAGCATCGACCCGTCATTCTGTTATGGCTCCATGATTGGCTCGAAGAACGAACCCCAGACATCAACGAACCCGCTGTCCTTGTGGTGTCGAGCTCGCAGCAACTGCATGTTCCAGTGTATGTACACGAGCTTCTCGAGGGATGCTGGGGACAAACTGTTTTGTCTCTTCGTATGGACAAAGTCCATGAAGGCCCAGTTGCGCTCAGCAGGGGTCGTAGTGCTCCACATCCCCATGACCTTGATTGCAATTGCCTGAAGTGTTGGGACATCCCCGCCATGTGTTGCCCACCAGGGCGCAGGGTTAAGCCTCCTCACATCGTCCACCGCCGGTTGTTTCACATGTGCTCATCCTTGCGCTTCTTCATACCTTTCCCGGGCTCCGTGCACACTTGCTCCGTCGCAACCCTCACGGGCTCTTTTTGGAACTCCATCAACTCCGCCCACAAGTCAGAATGTGCCTTGTTGTTCCACTCACCCCCGATCTGCCTCAAGAAGTAGCGCATTGCATTTTGCATCACTGCACTGTTCTGGTCGAAGAGCCAGCGTTCATTCCACCGCCGTGGATCAAGAACGAATGTAGCTGCATGAACCAGCTGCCTCATCCTTTGCACGCGGTCACACACGTTTTCCATGACATCCTCCCGCTCCTTCTTTGTCAGCACCACGTTTGTCAATTTCCGCCGAATCATATCATCGTACTCAACAAGATTGGTGGGAGGCGTGCCTTCTGCGTCCATTCTCTTCAGCAACTGGAAGATCGGGTGCATGATGTCCACAATCTTCCTCACCTGCGGCCACCATACCTCTGACCTCACTGTGTAGTACACGACGTCGGCTCTCCTGCGCAACTTCTCCCCTGACCATCTCAATGCTCTCCACTTTGACGCTGCCCTCCCATCCACCATCGTGACAAGAACATCCTCTCTGTCTGCTAGCCGTTGAAGCATCTGATACACAGATCCGAACCGCACTTCCATCGGACGAAGTAAGGACAATGAGTCATCGACGGTCATCATCAAGTCGTGTGTGGCATAATGATTCCGGATGAACTTGACGATTGTGTTCGCGGTTTTTACTATGCCCTTGATCCACAATAGGTTGGCCAAATCCTTGAGAAGGAGACTACAACAATGTGCCCCGCAAGGAACCCACAGAATTCTCTCCACGTCCTTGTCCTTGCGCCGTTTTAGGATCTGCGCCGCCTTCTTGTTAACTTCGTCGTTGTCGGTGCAGATCGCGTTGATGCGTTGCAGTCCAATCTCCCTCATTACCTGCTCCCACAACTTCGCCAAGTCCACTACATTCTTCTTCCTACCACTCATTGTCACCGTCGTTACGAGCACCACCCCTTGTTCCCCCGCCGCCAAGAAGTTCATCACTGGTCGATTCTTGCGGTCAGTTGACCCGTCAATGATGAACGTGCATCCAGTCGAGTCCTGACACCTCGTCATCGGGTTCACCTCTTCTTGGATCTTCAAGTAGATGATGTCCAGCATGACCGTCCTCATGTAGTTGTATGATGGTAGCTTCATCTTCGGCCCCGCGTTGGCTACCTCCACGTAAACGGCATGCAACGTCTGAGTCGTGTCCATATTCAAGAAATTGAAAGCAATGCCAGCCCTGAACATGGCCTCCGCCCACACAATGTCCAACTTCTTTTGTGCCGCATTGTCCACCCAACGTCCCACAGTGGTCTGTCTCAAGGTAGTCGTTCATGCTGTTGACCCTTGCCCTTCCTCACCGCCTCCGCCCTCCGCTGCACCTCCAGCGTCGACACCCTCATCAAGAGCATCGGCGAGCATGTTTGCAATGCCGGCAACTGGCCGCCCTGCAACAGGCGGTGGTTGGGGCTCGTCTGTTTGTGGATCTTCCAAGCCTTCCTCTCCATGTGATGCATCACCACGATGCACATCCGATTCGGCCTCGCCTCCCTTGTAATTCCTCAACAAGTACTTCGTGTTCTTGTCGTTAGGCTGCACTTCCGCACCACCAGCAACCAAAGTGTGGACTATCTCGCCTGTCTGCAGTGCACAAGGCCTCATCGGCTTCAAGAAATGCTCGGCAACCTTGCTTGCCGACCCCCTCCAGATTGTCGAGCACAACCTGCACCTGACCCAATACTCCCCCCTCCCTTTCGAATTAGCTACCTCCTGTCCCTGCTCACACCACATCCAAACCTTGCTTTTCTTTCGCAGCACAACAGATCTGCCTCACTCTTCCCCTGGAACAAGCTTGCGTCGGTTCCAGGGGTGGGCTCCTTCCCCCCGCCAACTGAAGTAGCCAATGCAGATGTCGGCCTTCGCGTACTTGATTCAGGCTTGTCAACAACAGGCACTGCAGGTCCTTTAGCCTTTGCCGCTGCAGTTGCTCTTCCCCGACTGCCTCGTTCTTCACCGCCCCCCGTCATGGCCACCGTTGAGATATGACAAGAAATTGAAGAAGAAGAAGAAGAAGAAGAAGAAGAAGAGGAGGAGGAGGAGGAAAAAGTCGGTTTAGCTCAAGTTGGCTGTAGCTATGGCTACGGTTGTAGCAGGAGAACGGGACTACTGGACGAAGACCGCCAAGGATAAGTTGGGGAAAAAAAAGAAAAAATTGTCGCCTCTGGCTATGGCTACCAATGTGGGGGGAGAAGAAGAAGAAGAAGAAAAGGAGGAGGAAAACGAGCTAGTTTTTGGGAAAAAAAAAAAAAAAGTTGGCTACGGCTACGGTTGTAGGAGGAGAACGGGACTGGAGGATGACCGAGAAGAATAAGTTGGAAAAAAAAAAAAAAAAAAAAAGTGTCGCCTTCGGCTATGGCTACAGATGTGGGGCTACAGATGTGGGGGGAGAAGAAGAAGAAGAAGAAGAAGAAGAAGAAGAAGAAAAAGAAAAAGATGAAGAGGAGGAAAACGCGCTAGTTTTTTACAACAAAAAAAAAAGTTGGCTTCGGCTACGGTTGTAGGAGGAGAACGGGACTGCAGGTTGAAGACCGAGAAGAAGAAGTTGGAAAAAAAAAAAAAAACGTCACCTTTGGCTATTGTTCCCAATGTGGGGGGGGGAAAAGAAGAAGATGAAGAAGAAGGAGAAGTAGAAGAAGTAGAAGAAGTAGAAGATGAAGAAGAAGAGGAAGAAGCTAAGGAAGAAAAGGGGGAAAAAAATTCAATCAATCAATCGATCGATCAATCCCTCAATCAATCAATCAATCAATCAATCAATCAATCAATCAAACAATCCATCAATCAATCAATCAATCAATCAATCAATCAAACAATC